CAATCACATCTGTCCCAGGAACCAATAACATTTAATGGTTTGTGCTAGTTTTCTTTTCTTTCCTTTTTTAAGTCATCTGAAGTTTAAAGTTTCTAATGAATACAACTAAGAACTTAAATTTCTCCATGCCATACCAAGTGATGTTTTGAATATGCTGTGTTCTCTGCATGTAGATATCAGATATGTACCATTTTGATGGCAAAAGTATATTGGAAATTTTCATTTCAGGATAAAAACAATATCAAATGTAGAAATACATACTTAAAAGTTCAATAAAATCAAAGTTCTTCTCCATTATCTCTCTTGAGGCTATGTCATTTTTTTCTTTATTGCAATTATTTCTTAAATGTGTGGAAAAGTTTTGCCTATTTGTTAGTAGTGTTTGTGATGTTGAAGTCAAAGAGGAACCTCATATTTTAATTAGGTCTAGGTTTTTATTTTTACTAGAATCTTTAGGGTTTTCTATATATATGATCATACCTTCTGCAAACAGAGATGATTTTACTTCTTTCTTTCCAATTTGGATGTTATTTATTTATTTATTTTGTCTAATTGCTGTGGCTAAAATTTCCAGTACTATGCTGGATGGAAGTGGCAACCCTATTTCTCACAATATGTCTTGATTTGTCCTTTGTGCCAGAAAAACCTGAGTTAAGACCCCTCCATGCACCCAAGACATCCTCACCTCTCCTTACCACTGAAGTACCCTCACCCTGAGTTCCTTCTCTTTGCAGAACATAGCTTTATGTTTGTGCTTGTAGTCCAAATTCCATCCTGCCTATCTCCAGTTCCATCTTCCCTGTGAAATCGTCTGTAATATCCCCTTTCTCTGCTTGCAATCCAGCTGGAAGTATTTCCCTTTATTCAGGCCTCTCATAGCATTTTATCTTAGCCTCTTCAAATTGATGGCTTATATTTATCTTTTTTAAAATGTACTTTTCTTCCGGCTACTTTCTCTTATTCTTCAATTACTTCTAAATTTGCAAGTATGACTTTAAAAATATCCAAGTGATCTTAATTTCCCTGACTAGACTCTAAGCTCCTTGAGGGAATATTCATATTTCTTTCATTTTACAACTTCCCAGTAGTGCTAGTACTAACAGCAAGCTTTGCCCATAAGGCATAGCAAATATTTGCAGAATAAATAAATATGTTGGATATATTACCATATGTCTCCTCAAATACTACTTTTGTGCTTGTATGTGCATGTGTCAACTCAGCTAGCCATCAATATATTTAAAAAATGGTCCCTCGGAGTTGGGAAGCAAGGAGTCAATCATACCCCATAATTCCTTTAAAAGAAAAGGATTTCAGTGGTGTCAGGTAATATTGGTGAAGGTAACTACAGCTACCATTCTTCTTAGCCATGGTGGGTTCTGGTAGCCAAAGTTGGGTTTTGTTTTGTTTTTTTTTAACTACTGCTTCACCTCTGTCCCATTTGACACTAGAGAATTATAGCAGGATATTTAAAAATATACACCCATTAAATCACTTAATCTAATATGATTTTGGGGGAATAGTAGGTTACAATTATTTTGCTTTGTAATGGACTGATCATGATGTGTGTGTGTGTGTGTGTGTGTGTGTGTGTGTATGTGTATATATATATATATATATATTTTTTTTTTTTTTCTTTTTTTTTTCCTTGAGTTGGAATCTCACTCTTGTCACCCAGACTGAAGTGCAGTAGTTTGCTCATGGCTACTGCAGCCTCGACCTGCTGGGCTCAGGCGATCTCTCCACCTCAGATTTCCAAGTAGCTGGAACTACAGACGTATGCCACCACATCCAGCTAGTTTTTTTGGTGATTTATTGTAGAGACAAGGCCTCACCAGGTTGCCCAGGTTGGTCTCGTACCCGTGGGCTCAGGCAATCCTCTTGCCTCAGTCTCCCAAAGTGCTGGGATTACAGGCTGAGCCACCACACCCGGCCAATGTGCTTTTAAAAATGTACATATTTTCATGGTAATCTAATTTCTATTATATATTACATTACAATTTATATTAAATTCTAGTTTTTAAATTTCTTTTGGGCAAGAACATTTGATTCCCCTGTGTCAGTTGAGGTTTTCCAGGAAGCAGAAACTAAAACAATAGGAAGTGCTGGAGATTTACTGGGCAGGGAGAAAAGGCTTCAGACTCGGGTGTACTGCTTCTATAGTAAGTACTATGAGTTGAGAGCTGGAAGGAGGTGGAAAGAGCCTTAGGCTGTGATGCAGCTGCAAGAAGTTTTGGCCAAACTAATGAGAAGCTCTGGTGCAAAGATGTCCCATAGAGAAAGTCTATGGGCAGAAATGGCTGAACCCCAGCGGCCCCACTGTGCTCATTCATTGGTTGAAAGCTTCTCAGTAAGACAGTGACTGTGGCTTAAATATTGTGGTAGATCGAAAAAGATGCTGCATCTACGTACTGTCAGCTACTTGCACTTCTTGCAGCAAGCTCTCTCTTGAAGGGAAAGCCAAGTAGCTCCTCTACATGGCTGCCGCAGTAAGCATGATATAATATGAATGCATAAAGAGCAGAACTTTGTTTTAAAAAATTAGTGTGTGCCTGAGATACAATCTCCACCACTACTCAATATGTCCATGTAACACCCATGCACATGTACCCTTTGAATTAAAAATAAAAATGGGAAAAAAATAAGTATGTGAATTGAAGGTAGTTGTCACCAGTGCTTCTATAATTGCACGTGCTATGGCTCATTTATAGATAAGCATGTCTTTCTGTGACTGATACTGCCTTAGACTGTTCTTGCTGCTATAACAAAATACCACAGACTGGGTAATTTATAAGCAATAGAAATTCTCATAATTCTGGAGACTGGGAAGACCATGATCACAGTGCCTGAAGATTCAGTGTCTGGTAAAGGTCTGCCCCATGGATGGTTTCTCTCTTGGTATCCCACATGATGAAAAGATGGAAGAGTGGAAGGGGATGAATTCTGTGTCTTCACATGGCAGAAGAGATGGAAGAACCAGGCAGCTCTTTGAACCCCTTTTTTTCAGGCCTCATTCATGAGGTCGGAGCCCTCATGACTTCATCCTTCCTAAGAAGTTCCACTTCTTTTTTTTTGCTGTTTAAGGAATTTTTATTAAAGCAAGTATTTTATAATCCAAATTATGTTTCCTTGCCCACTTCTTAATACCATCACCTTGGGGATTAAGTTTCAACATGAATTTTAGAGTGATACAAACATTTGAACCATAACACTTATTGTTCAAAATCAGAGATTAGTACAAATGATGATTTTGCATTGTTCCCAAGATTTTCTAGTGTCTTTAAAGTTTGCTGGCAAACCATTGGCTTTGAACTACTAAATAATTTTCTTCACTAGGACTGTGCTACTATGGCGTTTGATTGAAGCTATTGCTAAATTCAAATACGGGCTGAAACATACACTCTCTTATCTAAACACTAGTAATCACAGCTCCAACTTGCTGGCATGTTGTGTATGACTGCTGTTTACATATGGTGTACTTATTGTACTCTCATCCTGTAAGGCATATATTATTATCTAGATTGTGTAGATACACAGGCTGAAGCTCAACATGGGGGAAACTCTCAAGTCAGGTCAAGCATTTAGAAAGTTGCAGGGCTTGTAATGGAACCCAAGTCTCACTCTTCTACCTGTGGCTTTCCATTGTGCAAGATGCCTGATGATTTTCATACACCTAATTATATACACAGATTTAAATGTAACATCCATTCAGAGAAGAAAGAGAGGAGGAAGCCAAGTTTTATTGTGTCTTCCTTTATTACTGTATAATTTGAAATATTCTAAAATTGAAAGTGGAAATCTTTTCCAATTGTAGCATGTAGAATTTAACCTGAGAATATTTGCAAGGTTTGATTAGATGACATGCCAATTAGAGTATATATACACAAACGAAAGGTATGCATATTCTAAATTTTTGTTAAAATAACTAGTTATATTTTTTCTTCTAGTTGGCTTAGCACTTTGGATATTTATCTTTCCTTTAACAATATGTTATATTTCTGTCCACTGACAGGTCTTTAAGTTAATATAAAGAGAAAAATTTCCTATGAATTTACAAGTATGTGGTGCTAAACAAAATTTGTACTTAATGGAAATTAAGGATGCTGTGTAGAGTGGGTTAAATGGAACCAAGCCGGGAAATTATATTTTAAAGAATCTTTTGAAAGTTATGTTTTTGGAACAGATAGGCCTTTTTGTGACAGAGCCAGTTTAAAAATTACAGATTATTAGTGAGCTCTTAATGCTTTTTATTTTGAAATGTTTAAATCATAACAGACAAGTATGAACTGGGCACTGTGACTCACACCTGTAATTCCAGCACTTTGGGAGGCTGAGGTGAGGGAATTGCCTGAGTCCATGGGTTCAAGACCAGCCTGGAAAACATAATGAGACCTCGTCTCTACAATAAATAAATAAATACGTTAGCTGGGTGTGGTGGCACACACCTGTAGTTTCAGCTACTTGGAAGACTGAGGTAGAAGGATTGCCTGAGTCCAGCAGGTAGAGGCTGTGGTGGTGGTGAGTGTGCCACTGCATTCTAGCCTGGGTGACAGAGTGAGACAAAAACCAAACAAACAAACAAAAACAGACAAGTACGGTGAATGACATAAGGAACATTTATTTAGCCCCCGCTGTGCTGTTCTATCAATTCTAATATTTGCCCTTCTTACTTTATTTTTTAAAATATTACAAATAGAGTCGAAGTACATTTGTAACACTTACACACCCCAGCTTTTGTAAAGGGTAACATGTATATTGAATTTGGTGTGTATCATTTTCATTCACATTTTAATACTTTACTCCATTTATATATGTACATAGACATACTTGTAAGTAATATATAACATTGTGTTTCATGTTTTCAAAGTCTGTGTATCTGACTATATATTTCTGAGATTTATCTGTTTTGATACATGTCATATGATCTAGATGTCATTCATTTTCATTTCTGTGTGTTACACTCTCAGATTAATGTTGAATACACCCTATGTTAAGAATCTGGGACAAGATGGTGACTCCAGTGCAGGTCTTTCCACTCATCAAGCTCGGCCGCTATTCCGCCCTGTTCCTCAGCATGGCCTACGGAGCCTCGCGCTACAGTTACCTGAAACCTCGGGCAGAAGAGGAGAGGAGGATAGCAGCAGAAGAGAAAAAGAAGCAGGATGAACTGAAACGGATTGTTCGCGAGTTGGCAGAAGCCCAAGATGACAGCATCTTGAAGTGAGAATCTCTGCAAACCTGCTTTCCCTGCAACAGTAGTGGATGAATAAAACTTCCTGTGTAGTATGGTTAAAAAAAAAAAAAGAATCTGTTGTCCTTGATTGGTAACAGGTTGCTTCTAATTTTCACTATTACAAAAAATGTCACCACATTTGTCCCTTCTCACGTTTCTTGTTCATAGGTAGAAGAGTTTTTTTAGGGTATATACCAAAAATCAACTGCTGGCTTGAGCTACATGTGCGTCTTTAATTTCATTAAATAATACCAAATTTTCTCCAAAGTGGTTGCATCATGTGGGGCACAGGTTACCTTTTGTTTCCACATTCTAGTTATTACAAAATGTAATAGACTTTTATACTTTTTCTAATATAATGGATAGAAAAATAACAAAACATTGTCTTAATTTATTTCCTGATTACTGAAAAGATTAAACAAATTTTGCATTTTTATTGGCCACTCAAGTTTTCTCTTCTGTGAGTTGCCTATTGATATTCTTTCCCTACTCTTCTATTTGCTTGTTTGTCTTTTTCTTACCAATTTGAATAAATTATTTAAATGTAGATACTATTACTTTGTTATTTATTTTATTATAAATATTTTTTTCAGTCTGTTGTTGTCTATGGATATCGATTATGGTTTTGTTTTGTTTTTTTAAAGAACAACTTTTACTTTTAGGTGACAGAATTTGTCAATTGTCTCTTCTAGTTTGTGCTTTTGGTGTGCTTAAAAACCCTTTTCTATCCCGGAACAACAAAAAATATTCTGTATTCTTTCTTAAATATTTGAAAGTTATAATATTTTACACTGAAGTCTTTAATCCATCTAAAATTAGTTTTTGGAGTAGAATGAGTCAGAATCTAATTTTTTTTTCCCATATGGATAATTATTTGTCTGAGCATCGCATTTGGAACTCTCTGTTACCCCACTTGGTGGTTAATTTTATGTGTCAACTTGTGTAAGCCACAACACCCAGATATTTAGTCAAGCAGTATTCTAGATGTTTCCATGAAGGTGTTTTTGGATGAGATTAACATTTAGATCAATAGAATTTAAGTAAAGCAGATTATCTTCCACAATGTGGATGGATCTCATTCAATCAGTTGAAGGACAATAGAAAAAGAATGACTTCTCCTGTAAAGGGGGAAAATATACATGCAGACTGTTTTCAGACTCCTGCTGCAGCAACTCTTCCCTGGGTTTCTGGCTCTCTGGCCTACTCTACAGACTTTTTACTTGTCAACCTCCATGATCGTCTGAACCAATTCCTTAAAATCTCTTTTCCTCTGTGTAATATGTAATGCACCCACTGATTTCTATGCCATTCATTTCCCCCATTGCCAGATATATGCTTGGGTCTTCTGTCCTATATTCTGTTTCATTCGTTTATTTTTCTACTCCTGTGCCAATACCTTTCCTTCTTAATAGAATAAGCCTTTCTACTTAATCCTTCTTCAAAATTGATTCTTGACTTGTAAATTTAATTATTAACTTGACAATTTTATTAAAAAGTCAGCTCAGATTTTTATTGAAATTGTTTTGAATCTACCGGTTACTTTGGTTAGAATAAAATCTATGCTATTGAGTCTTTTTATCCACGTACATGCTATATCTCTTATTCAAATTCAGATCTTATATTATTCAGATTTTATATTATATTCTTTAGTAACCTTTAATAATTTTCTTCATCTTTTCCCCCATATCTTTTGGATTTTGGTTGCTGTCTTTTAGATTTTTTCCTACACGCCATATCATGTGATATTGTTACTACTAGTGGAATCTTTTAAAATTAAATTTTGTGTGGCTATCCATTTTCTATTCATTTGTGAAGAGATCTGCTGGTTTTAACTGGGAACATGGTTGCCTGAACAAAGACCACTTTTCCCAGCTGAACTTGAAGTTGGGGTTGGATGTTTTACTAAGGAAGTCCTGGCCATGGGCTAATGGTATGGAAGCACATGTGTTCCTGAGGCTTTGAGGAAGTATTCCTAAAGGAGGGGTGATACTGTTCTTCCTCCATTCTTCCTTCCTATTGGCTAGAATAAGAACATGGTCACTGAAGCATTAGGCAAGTGGTTTTAAAGTCCTGTTTAAATGCACCATATACATTTCCTGGATTCTGGCAGCATGGAATGGAGTTTTCTGGGCAGTTTGGCAAAGACTAGAAGTTCTCTGATTCTCACAAAATTTATAATTGTTTCCTTTTGACAAGTAACCTGTTACCCTAAGACCAAGATGACCCTTCTCATTCATTTTAAAAAAACATGCTATTGAATTTAATGTGCTGTTATTGTTTGGTATTTTTGAATCTATGTTTGTGAGCAAGACCAATATCAATTTTATTGGTCAGTTACTATCTAGTTGTGGTATCTAAGTTATATTGGCACTTCAACATGAGTTCAGAAGCTTTCTTACTTTTTCAGGTCACTGAAACAATTTCTGTACAATTGATATTATCAGTTATTTGAAGTTTTGGTAAAACTGCCTATAGTTAGTAAAATTATCTAAGCCTGTTGTCCTTTGGTGAGAGAAATTTTCAGTCACTGATTCAATTTTTTAACGGTTATTGTTTTATCTCAGTCTTCCTCACTCTGTCTCTCCTCCCTGACCCCTTACCCCCAGTGCTTTTCTGACCCATTGGGTCTGTTCTGCCTTTAATGTGTTTGCTGACACCATTAACCTGCATCACTGATCTCCATCTGGAACATTAAAATGGAGTGCCTCTGATACATGATGCATGATACACATATGGAGCTCTCTGTCTGCAGTGCCTGGAAGGAGACAGGACCAAACAGGTCCCCTTTCTTCTCCTTTCTGTCCTATATTCTTCATCTCATCAAGAGTGGCACTCCACACTCAGCTGATGAAAGGAGTTTTCTTTATTGAAAGGCTGGTCTGGCTATTTTGGACTTCCCATTGGGTTTCACAGGGGAAGCTGGTAAAGTCTGAGGTGTTTGACAACATACGTCAGGGGAGGTCCCTGGTGACACTTCTCTGTTTTTCCGACCTGACGTGCCTTCCCTCAGATTCTTCATCCCCACCCCCAGACACTCCTGTCCTTTTCTCCTCATCTGAAAACTCTCCATCTCAAAGAAGGGAACTGGCCTCCTGGATCATCTCTCATTTAGTGAATCTTTCTGTATTGAGTAAGGGAGAGAAGAGACTTCAGTCCCATTAGTGGGGGATGTAGCTTCTCCAATTTAAGTATTCCTTTTAATAGTACCTCATTATGAGCTGTGAATAATGGACTCTTAAATTACATATTTGATGAAGAAAACTTGTCCTCTAAAAGTAGACTTTAATGTTAGTAAAGGGGGCATTATTTTTTTCATTGTTTTGTTTTTCCTGAGAATTTAGTCAATATTTAGGAGACATGAGTTAATATTATGCTGGTAAGAGGCATTTGTTCAAGAACCTGAAAGCAACCATGCTGTCCATCAAAAGAGGACTGGATTTAAAAAATGTGGTACATATACACAATGGAATACTACGCAGCCGTAAAAAAGAACAAAATCATGAATTTCGCAGCAACCTGGATGGAACTAGAGTCTATAATACTAAGTGACCTCTCACAGAAACAAAGATCTGAGTATCACATGTTCTCACTCATATAGTGGACCTTGAACATCCAATGTAATACTATAAGAAAATGACTGACAGTGGTGGGAAACTATGGGGGGGAAGGGAGATGAGATTAATGGTAGTAAATATCTGTTTGGGGATGGGAGACACGTCTTATCAACAAGGGGGCCTGAACGAAGCATATTTGTATACTTAACCCTTAACTGTACCCCACAATATCATAATAAAAAATATTGATTATAATTTTTAAAAAAAGAGGCATTTGTTTTTTTCCTGTTCATCTCAGAAGCCAACTTGCCTTAGAAAAGAGGTTTACTAACTTCCAGTGAATGTTCCCTCCCACCCTGGAATATTTGGCCCTTATTAATGTAGCTGGAGTCAGCAGTGTACTTATCATGGTAGAGAGAAGTAGGAGAGAGAGTGGAATTAGCAATTCTTTCCATCCTACTTTTTTGGAGTAAAAGTATCACCTCTGTTCTTCAATTACTGGAAAGCATGAGGAGTAATAATAATAATAATAGTGATAATGATAAATATGTATTAAATTCTTCTTGGTTCTGTGCAAAGAACTTCACATGCATTACTGTATTTAACTCTTATAACTACCTTTTAAGTTGCAATTATATTTATTTTATAGAGGGGAAAACTGTGGTTTAGATAATTAAGAAGTTTATTTAAAATCATGCAGCTGTAAGTGCTGCAAATTCAAGCCTAGGTTTAATTCCAGAGACCACATCTTGACCAGCAAGGGTACTTCTTTCCTATACAATGAATAACTTCATCACTTTGGAGAAGAAAATCCATTCTTAAAATTAAAATTAAAATTTACTAGCTTCCTGGTAGGGGGTAAAAACCACTGTAACCAAGCAACTCTAGCTTCATTGCCCCTGGCTGCTTTGAGTTGGAGTAGGGGGATCTTGTTTTCTCTGGAGAGTTCTACCCCTGAGATAAACTGGCATGGAAAAAGAAAAGAGCATACTTTAATTAATATGGGGGAAAAACCTGAGAAAAGCAAACTGAGGAAAAACAAAACACAGAATCCTTCCAGTTGGCAGTTTTCATTCTCTCCAAACTTGCTTTCCTTTGGGCTTTGACCCTTTGGGTGTCTGACCCTCTTCCACATCCTGCAGAACATTCCCAAAGGACTCACCTTATAGAGGCCTCTTGCTAAATTGGTTTTTCCCAGTTCCAGGAGTTTCTTCTTCCTCCAGCAGTTGGCAGGACACTGGTGATTAAGAAAATGTGGCGTCCCTGCAGGTGCAGGCATTTGCCCTGAACCTGAAGGTTAAGATTAATAATATCTCCAAAAATTAGTGGCAAAGTTGAAGTGGCAGAGACTGGAGGGCTTCACCGCCATATCCTGCTGTAGTAAAGCAGTTGGAGAGAAAACCTCGCAGCAGCTTGTTTGTTTCACAAGGGAGGGTGTTCTGTAGAGAATGCAACATCTGGCCTCTTGTCACAGGCCTAGTGGAGTCCAGTGCACCCAGAGAC